GGAGAGAATGATCATGTTTATGGATGGAAAGGCTATATGTTTTAAAGTTATCAGTTGTTTCCAAACTGATATACAGAGTCAATGTAATCCCAAACAAAATCCCCACAAGTATATTTGTAGAAAAAAAAAAGATAAGCTGATTGTAAAATTTACATGAAAACTCAATTTATAATGCCCAAAACAACTTCAAGAAAATAATAACAAGTTAGAGGACACCACTACTTGATTTTAAGACTTAGTAGAAAACTACAGTAAAAAAAGACAGTATGGTATTGACAAAAGGGCAGACACACAGAATGGAATAATGAGTCCACGAATTAACCCAGCCACATATAGTCGATTGATTTTTGACAAAGGGGCCAAGATAATTTACTGGGAAAAGTCTCTTAACAAATGGTACTGAAAACTGGATATCCCTATTGAAAGAAGAGAATATTATCTTTACTTCAATGACCATACATAAAAATTAACTTGAAGCTGATCTTGAAATGGACCTAAGTGGAAAAGCTAAAACTATAAAAACTTCTAGAAGAAAAAAAATCTGCAAACTTAGGTAGGCAAAGACTTCTTATATAGGACACAAAAAGCACAAAACATGAGAAAATAAATTGATAAGTTGAACTTTATTACCATTAAAATTTTTCCTACTCAAAAGGTACCTTTAACAATTATGTGGTTACTTACATATGACACCAAGAGCATAAGTGACAAATGACAAAAGCAACTGAACTACATCAATATTAAAAACTTGAAAGTTGCAAATGATATCTACAAGAAAGTGAAAGGAAAATCCATAGGAGAAAATATTTGTAAATCATATATCTAATAAAGGCACTTGTATATAGAATATATAAAGAAGTCTTACAGTTCAAAAATAAAAGACAAATAACCCATTTAAAAATGCATAAGGTATCTGAATAACATTTCTCCATATAAGATATACAAGTGGCCAGTAAACACATGAAAAGATGCCCCACATCTTTGGTCATGAGGGAAATGCAAATCAAAACTTCAATGAGATAACACTTTATAACCACAAAGATGGCTATCAATAGAAAGACAGATAATAAATATTAGAGAGGATGTGGAGACACTGGAACCCCTATACACTGCTCATGGGATTGTATAATAATACCCTTTGGAACACACTTCAGAAGTTCCTCAAAATGTTAAACATAGACTTACCATTTGACCATTTGACCCAGCCATTCCATTCTTAGGTATATACTCAAGGAAAATGAAAACATATCTCCACAAAAAAATCTGTACATGAATATGCCTAGCATCATTATTCATAATAGCCAAAAATTAGAAATAACCTAATTGTCCTTCAGCTGATAAATGGATAAATAAAATGTTGTATATTCATATAATTGAATTTTATTTGGTAATAATGGAATAATAAAAAGGAAGTGCTGATACATGCTACAACACAGATGTCTTGAAAATGTTTAATGAAAGAAGCTAGTCACAAAAGACTGCATATTTATATTTAATGATTCCATTGATATGAAATGTTCAAAATATGCAAATCCACAGTGGTAAGTGGATGGGGCTGGAAGAATTGGGAGTGATTGCTAATGGGTTATGGGTCTCTTTTGGGTAGATAAAAATATTCTAAAGTTAGATTGTGTGATGGCTGCACAACCTTGTGACTAAAATAAAAACCCCTGTAGACTTTAAAAAGGTGAATTGTATGGTATGTGAATTATATCTCAATGCCATTATTTTTTTAAAGGCACCATTAAAAAACAAAAACAAGCTACAGGATGGGAGAAAATACTCATATTACATATATCTGAGAATATATAAAGAACATTTACAACCCAATATGATAATACTCCAAGAAAAGTGAGGAGAAGAGTTGAATGGACACTTTACCAAAGATTACAAATGGCCCATCAAGACAAAAACACATGATCAATATCATTAAACACTAGGGAAGTATAAATTAAAGCCACTATAAGATACCACTACACACCCATTAAAATGGCTAAATTGAAAAGGTGTTGAAGAGCATGTTGAGCAACAGGGACTTACATAGACTGTTGACAAAACATAAAATGGTCTAAAACCACTTTAGAAAAGTGACAGTTTCTTAAAAAGTTCAACACATACTATTTGGCCTACTCGTTCTACTCCTAGGTCTTCACCAAAAACACATCCACACAAAGGCTTGCACATAAATGTTCAAAGCTTAATTCATAATAGTCCCAAACTGGAAATAACCCAAATGTCTAGTAACAGTAAATGGATTAAATGTGAAATATCCATGAAAAAGAAAAAAAGAAAAACCTACTCAGCAATAAAAAAGAACAGTCTCCTGTTCATGCTCTTACACGGATGAATGTCAGTAATTATGATGAGTGAAGTAAGCCAGACACTGAAATGTACATACTACATAATATTTTAGAAAATGCAAGATAATCTCTAATGAGTGAAAATGGCTGCCTGCATGTAGGAGAGACGGAGGGGAAGATTTCAAAGTGCCACAAGGACTCTTAGGGTCATGGACATTTTCTGTTCTTGATTGTGGTGGTGGTTTCACGGTAAGATTCACATCCATCACTGAACTGTTCAGTTTAAATGGATGCAATTACTATTAATTACACCTCAATAAAGTTGATTTTAAAAAAGTAATGAGAACCAATGAAAAAAATTTATACAACAGCCTACAATTAGCATATCCAGCGTGTGTATAAATAAAGCCTCTAAACTGCTTAATGGTGCATGTAAACCGATTTTGCCTTAGGTACTTCCAGCACTCATTGCCTCTAGATCTGACTTTCATGATTAACTTGCCTGACAACCTCAAACAGTGCCCTCCCCACCAGCCCAACCCCTCTCTGATTAATACAAATTTGGAATGAGTGTGGTCCACATTACCATACTTTTAGATGCTTTTAGGATAATTGCAAAAAAGAGGAGCAATCCATGATAGAAAAGCTCAGGGATGGGGTGGGAACAGGACTGCCGCAAGACAGCTTCCAAACTTTATCCTAAGGTTTGTTTCGTTCCTCATACTTTCATGCTCACATGACAACCCATCTTTACATGAACTTCTGCTGATAAGTATACAAGTTGCTTAGAAAGGTAGAATTCAAATCTGCTTTATCTGTATCTCATAAAATTAAAGACCTCTGCAGAGACATACTGATGAAATGATATAGATGTCCATAAAGAAGCCAGTCTGTATTGAGGACTTTTTATGACAAAGTATATCCCACACATTTTTCCCATTCAATACTCATTATAAATATTATTACTATTATGTAATTTTTTTCCTATTAAGGAAACTAATATTCAGAAAAGCCCAGTTTTTTGCCCAAATTCACCAGCTAGTAAGGGGCAGAGCAGAGATTTATATATTGGGGTTGCTTTCAACTGAATTATTTAGTGGCAGTTTCCTAGAGACCTTAAAGCAAGTGACTGTATATAACTTTGGCTTGAAGCATTATTATTATTTTTTGCATCAACAATAAAAAAGCACACATTTAAATACACTGACATTCTGTTTTGTCACCAAAATGTCATATTTTTCCTTTTGGGCTATCAGTATTTAGGGGGACAAAGAAGCAGGTGAATACCTGCTTCTTTAAGAACAGACTCTACATAACAGTCATGAGCTGCTGGCTAGTATTCCAGATTTAGGGGAAGCTATTGCTGTCAAGGAAGAACCAGGAGTGTGGCGAACCATAAAACAGACAGGAGAGCACAGCACTAGGAAAGACTGCATTAAATCTCTGGGAATTAATGTGGAAGCAGCAGTCAAACTGTTAAGCGGTCAGTCTCATGGCTGATGATAACACACAAAACTGTAAAACTGCAGGACACCACCCAGGACAGTCATTCGACAGAGAAAAACCATCCACATGCTTCGGATTTAGACACTTGAAAAGTTACATAAAAATATCATAACCTACTAACAATCTTAAAGGTGATGAAAGATTAAATAAATGTATTGATGAACACTTATTTGCATCCTAACCTGACCCCACGTGAATGTGCTGTTTAAACATTCATGAGGAAAAAATAGATGAAAAATAAATTGTTTGCCTAACTATCATTTTTCTAAATACCTTGGTAAAATGAAATCTAAAAATCATTAATAACTAATGAAATTTAGGTATATATTCCGATCAACCAAAATCCTCTTTAGTCATTATGCTCAAAAATATATTGTTCCAGAATTTCTTTACTCAGGTCATGGTTAAAGTGTAACACACTTCTGCAGTTTCCATCACCTCATTCTAATAAATTTAGTCCTGGGACACTCCTCGAAATTATATCAATTAGAGCAAAATACATATGTGAGTCAGGAGGCTGATTTTGCTTACATTTTAAAGAACACATGTTCAAGTCAGGTCTCCACCTAAATACTCAGCTTTCCTACTTCTTCCCTCTTCTGGTAATCTCCAGTGTTCCTGGAATGCAGAAGTAATCTAATGGGGTGATAATGCCATGGTCTGACCCACCTAGACTTGTCTTCTGTCTGGCATGAATTCCAGTTCAGTCCCATGTGCATTTATGTGCCAGCAGAAGGCTGCAAGGCAAGGGACAGGCACACAGCTGCTATCTGCTGCCCTCCCCAGCAGCCCTGGAAATTAAGACAGGAGTGGGAGTTTCTCCTGGAGACAAGAACAGAGTGTACTTCACTGCGGGCCCACTGAAGTTTTCTTAGGAAGCAACATGTGGACCTATCACATTAAAAAGCAAGAGACACATCCTCAACACAGTGCCCTGCAGTGTCAGCCCGTCCGGCGTGAGGGCGCCACATGTGCAGTCCAGCCCGTGGCTGCAGACTAGACCGGGGTGGCCTGCAGACCCCCGTGTTTGGCCCACTATCTCTAGATGGATACATGCACCTCCAACCTCCAAGGTTCACACCACTCCTATGTCTTACATGGCTCACCTACATTAGTCTATTTTACCACCTGGCTATTTAGACATTTGGGTTTGCAACCCTTGGTCTACCCTCATCAATTCAGCAAGGTACTTACAGCTGCATGACCAAGTATAGGTGGTTTGGGCTCTCATAAATGTCTTCCAGGGCAACAATGTTTTCATGCTTAATTCTAAAAGAAAAAAAAAAGACACACAGGATGTAAGTGCAATTAGGCATGAAAATTTGTAAAACACATTAGAGCAAAAGGTTCTAAGATGACATAATGTGATGTATAAGACTCTTCATGATCTTGTCCCCAGACTATCTTCCAGACCAGTCTCCCAAAGATCCCCTTTGCTCCCCTCCATTCCTGAGGCTCTGTTCCCCACAGGATAGTAACACTGCATTAACTAGTGTTGCTTCATGTATACCCCAGCTTCCTTGCATTCATTCCTGTCAATCACAGGAATGGGCCAAACCATGGAAATCCTACTATTTTTCAGAGCCCAACTCAAATGGCTGAGCCCCATGGAGAATTGAATTGCTCTCTCTCCTGCAGGCTTACAATGGCCATCATAGACTGGCCTGAACAAACAGTTAGTTCACTGTGTGCACATCTGTCCCCATAACTGGTATGATGTTCCAGGGACCTGTTTCACTGTCATGTTCATGACTCTAGCACAAGCAAAGGAAAACCAGATTGATCCCCTCTTCGGGTTTGCAGTTACCATCACCGAAGGTTACATGAGCACCAGAAGGAACTAGACTGGGTGCTCTTCACAGTGTGGTTTGCAAATGGGTAGCACCAGCATCTCTGGGCACTTGTTAGAAATGCAAATTCTCGGGCCCACCCTTGTCATACAAATTCAGAATTCCTAAGAGTAGGAATCAATTTTAATAAGATCCTCAGACAACTGTATGCACAACACAGAGCTGGAGAAATCTTGCTCTAGACCAGTGCTTCTCAACCTCAGCAGGCACACAGATCACCTGGGATCCTGACTGCATGGCCCCGTCTCTCTCAGTGGGTCCAGGTGGGGCCTGGGAATCTGAATTTCCAACAAGTTCCCAGGAGATGGTGGCTGCTGCTGCTCTGTGGACTGCATTAGAGTAAGAAGATCTAATTACAGAACCAAGCCAGAAGGAAACAGCCCTGTACAGGTGGTTTGGGCTCTCATAAATGTCTTCCAGGGCAACAATGTTTTCATGCTTAATCCTAAAAGAAGGAAACAGCCCTATTTCCTTCTGCTGGCCCCTGGCACTACCCATTAACAGTAGCTTCTGCTCAGAATATAAGACTTGATATTTACTTAAAGCATTTGAGAGAAGAATCTTTTCACTACTTTGTGAGCTAATCAACTCCTATCATGAAATGACTCCTGACCCATTTAAAAACAAGCATTTAATGTACAGATTCCCATGAATCCTTGAAAGCATGGACTACATGCTACCCATTCTGTTTTCTCCTTGAATTCATTCAGCATTCATCTGCTTATAAACATTTGCTAAATGAATGAATGATATTTAAAGGTTATCGCTACAAAACAGCAAGAATCATTACTTAGGGAAAATGAAGGCAATTTTCCTAAGTGTGAGATGTCTTTCACTCAAAAACAAGTTTATGAGGTGGAACTAATCAGAATATCACCTTTCCTTTAAGCAGATGAAAGAAGAGAACACACCAGTTAACTGAGAGGAACAGTGCTTTGATGTCTGCAGCTCCGATTACTCAGTGCAGCTGTTGGCAGGAGCTGAGACGACAGACCACACTCAGTTCGCATTCACCAGATTCCAGCGTGGACAGCCCAACAGTTTATCTGTTGGCAGTGGTTTACTTTGATACCTGAGCAAAATAATATCAGTAATGTACTCCATGAACCAAGTAAACTATGCCCCCCAGGAAGCCATGACAGATAAGTTTGGGACTGCCAAGGTTACCTAGATGTTTGTGGAGTTACTACTACCGGATATACCTGAAAGAGTCTGACCATAAAAAGCATACAGCATATGATTCTCCCTTTTGTTCATTTTTTAAAATTTGCCATTGGAATCAATCATATGGGCACATTTTCTTTCAGTGAAGTAAACTTAGAGGTTAATTAAGAGTTGAGACTTCTGGGACAATAAAAGATGGTTTTTGTGTATATGTAGCATTGCCAGATAAAGAGCAGGGCACCAGTTATGTTTAAAGCTACATAAACAACAGATACTTTTTTAGGGTAAGTATGTCCCAGGTGCCCTGCATTTTCATGTGCTAGATCTGGCCAGCCTAGATACATGACTCATAGTCAATGAGACTCTAAACTGGGCGTTGAGGTTTGTATCTGCAGCCCCAGCTCCCCTCTAAGGCTGCGCCAAGAAGGCTGTTTGAGCCCTGGAGTCCAGCCATGAATACAGATTCAACTGTATACAAAGAATCAACTATTTGTAAAGCACCTGACCAAAGTAGAAGACTCTAATAAATTAAGAATATAATCTCTTCTTTGGATGGAAAGGAGAGAGAAACTGAAGTCTACTTAACCTGCCATGTCTTATATGAATTCTTCAGTGGCTTTAATGATACTTGTACTGACTATCCCTCTTAACCAATGACTCAGTCAAGCAATTGTCATTTATTGAGTTTTTGCTATGTTTCTCAGAGAATATAAGAAAAATATAAACTAAGACGTTGACCTCAAAAAGCTTATCAACTCGCTGAAGAGTCCCATAAAGCAAATAGGAAAGAATTAAATGCTGAACTCTGTAGAACTGCCAGTGAGTTCAGAGAAAGCACAGCCTTATATGGCTCAGAATTACAGCGAAGGCCTCAAAATGATGGAGAATGAGGTGGGAGGGGTAATGTTTAAATATGCACACTTCAAAAATTTCAAAGAAATCCTAAAAATGGCCTCTTAAATGTCTCTTAAGAAAAGTGGTTTAATTAACCTGAAGATGTTAGAACGTGATAGGAGAAACCATTCTGGCCTCCCACAGCTGTTCTCAGGCACTTTACTTCCCCCTCAGACTCCTGAAGATATATAAAAGCTGAACTTAAAATTTTAACCTTATTTTGGTACACAGGGTATCTTCACCAAAGGGCATATGAACATCCGCGCACATACCACTGAGCACCCACACCATCTACCAGGCACTGTACTAGACATCCCAAGAGAGACAGCTCAGCCCTCCTGGGGCCACACAGTGGGCATCTGCCTGCAGCCAGGACTCTTCACAGGCAGTCTTTTTCATATTTACCAGAAATAAGCCTCCTTGTAATTAGTAGTGTCTCTTGGGAGCAACAGAGAACAAGCTTAGACCTTCTTCTCATACATGATGTAAGTAAATGTTTAAGGGAGATATATCTCCGCTGAGTCTTCTCTTTTTACCCACCAATCCTCCTACAACATGGTTTATATTTTTCTGATAATGTTATTGTCACTCTTGGTTGTCCCAATTATAGTATTCAGAACTGAAAGTAGGAATCCCAGGGTAAAGTACAGCATCAAGAAGAGGGTACTCAATAACAGAGCAGAACTATTAACGATCATGAGCTGGATAGCATACTTTGCAAATAAAGCCTAACATTATGTTCTTTTTTTAAAAGCAGTTAATTATACAACTGTTGGCACATACAGAATATAAGCTTCAAGGAGGTAGGAATTGTAAACTGTTTTGCTCACTATTGTCTCCCCATTGGCAAGAAAAGGGCACAGCAGGCAGTATTTTCAATACGTAATTGCTGCATGAATGAAAGAATACAGCTAAATAATCCATTCATTTTTACCTGAACTTCTACCAAACAAGATTGCCTTTCTTACTCAGTCTTGACCTTTGGCCTTAAAGTCTTTGCCTTTAGCTTCAGTAAATTAGGCTTTTTTGGGTTCCACGCAGTACTTTAGATGATCAGGAATATTCTGAATTTTTATTCTCTCATCTATTATATTTACTATCCCTCTCAACTTTGGGGCATCTGCACATTTGGTTGGTGCACATCCATCCCCTATGCCTAAATCTGAATTCCTAGTTAAAGTCTTGCAGGGGAATGTTGTATGTCAGAGCTCCCCCAGAGACTCCCATCCTGGGAACCAGGACATTATTCAGCTGTTCCATTGCTGACTAGTTGCAAACCCATCTAGCTTGTATTTTACCATCCTATCCATAAGGAGACAATTAGATTCTTTGCTGAAATCACATTCCTCAGTTTTACATACCACATAATACTATTTAAAAGGGGAAAGGGATGTTTGGGAAGATTTGTTCTTAGTAAGCCTGTGGTGGCTCCTAGCAACCACTACAGTCTAAATGATCACAAACCATCTGTTTAATTTACTGCTCCAGAATCATGCTGTGCATTGAGGGTCAAACTTCCCAGTCTATACACATCACATTCTACCTTTTTTATGTTTGGAAAATTTGCCAACATCTCTTATATTGTTTTCTCAAACATTTCAACTGTGATTCTTTTGAGATAAGTGCAATCAATTTCTTCACTCCCCTGGGATATAAGACATCTAAATCTAGTGATGAACTAATTTTATAACTTTCTGTGGCCCTACTTACATTACTGTTATATATACCATTTATTGAGTGTTAAATTATGTGTCGACTGTACTAAATATTTTTAATTATTCACTTAATACAACAATCCTATGAAGCAGCTGGAGATAACAGAAAATTATTGTTATCTGTCCCCCATTCCTGGCACAGGGCTCCAGGAAACCTTCATAACTTCCTAAGTGATAGAGGAGCACTTACAACTTTTCATAATTTCCTAAATGGCAAGAGCAACATCTCTGACATAGGGCTCCTAAATCCCTTGTAAATTCCTGGGTGACAGGAGTATCTTTTATTTTAGTGAGGTGACTCTGGACGGGCTCCTGGATGGGGCTGGTCACCAGAAAGACTAGCCACGATTAGAAGCTTGTAATCTTCAGCCCCTGCCCCATTCTCCTGAGGAGAAAGGGCTGAAAATGGAGTTAAGGACTCATCATGCCTACATGACAAAGCTTCCATAATATCCCCAAGTACAAGGTTTGGAGAGTTTCCAGGTGGGTGAGTGAACATACTCATACCTGGAGGATGACACACCCCAAATCCATGGGACAGAAGTTCCTGCGCTTGGGACCCTCCCACACCTAACTCTCAGTATCTCTTCATTTGGCTTTTTATCTGTAACCCTTTATCACATTCTTTTGTAAAATTTAAGTGTTT